AGAGAAATACTGAAACAAGGTATTTTTGCCTTGTTCAAGGGTGTACTAAGCACATAAGGTACTTTATTAATGCGCACATATGTGGGTATACTAGCACAGATATAGTATTGTTACATTTTTTCTAGACTTGGTTGTAGAGGGGAGCAAATTGAAGTCCTGTCTCTTCTTGACCTGGTACCTGAAAGGGAAAGGGTAAAGAGAGAGAGACAGAGAGAGAGACAGAGAGAGAGAGACAGAGAGAGAGAGAGAGAGAGAGAGAGAGAGAGAGAGAGAGAGAGAGAGAGAGAGAGAGAGAGAGAGAGAGAGAGAGAGAGAGAGAGACAGAGAGAGAGAGAAAGAGACAGAGAGAGAGACAGAGAGAGAGAGACAGAGAGAGAGAGAGACAGAGAGAGAGAGAGACAGAGAGAGAGAGAGACAGAGAGAGAGAGACAGAGACACAGAGAGAGAGAGACAGAGAGAGAGAGAGAGAGAAAGAGAGAGAGAGAGACAGAGAGAGAGAGACAGAGAGAGAGAGAGAGAGAGAGAAAGACAGAGACAGAGAGACACAGAGAGATAGACACACACATACAGAGAGAGAAAGACAGAGAGAGACAGACAGAGAGAGACAGATAGAGACAGAGAGAGAGAGAGAGAAAGACAGACAGAGAGAAAGACAGACAGAGAGAAAGACAGAGAGCGAGACAGACAAAGAGACAGACACAGAGAGAAAGAGAGACACACACACACAGACACAGAGAGAAAGAGAGACAGAGAGAGAGAGAGACCGACAGATAAAGAGTGAGAGAGATACAGAAAGGGAGGAAAACAGATTCTGAGGTAGATTGGGAGAGACTGTGTAAAGATGGACAGATGAAGATACAGGAAAGAAGGGAAAAAGAGATGGGGAAAGGAGGAAAAAAAGATGACAAAGAGAGGGAGGGATGAAGACATGATGAGGGAAAACCCCACCAACTTCCCCAACTATAGCACAATTTCATGTATACTGGACACAACCACTAGGAAAAGACAGTTATGGAAAAAACTGGGGTGGAAGGGGGAGGGGGAATGAGAATAATGAGAGAGAGGAGACGGTGAGGAAATAATTTTCTCTAGAGAGACAAAGAAGCAACAATCTGTATACAAATAAGTCAGATCTGTAAAACAGATGTGCATGCTAACTCCGGTTCTGGAACAAATCTATTGGTGAACAAACAACCAGAGTTTATAACCTGTAAATGTTAAGAAGAAGATCAGAAACTGTAACTTTTTGAAGATCACTACCCATAGGAATTTCTGTAGCAAATTTATGGTTAACAAATCCTAAAGGTCTTTCTAAACCACTTTTTAAGCCGAGAATTACACTGCAACATGTTTTCAAAACTACTTTGCCATATCTGACATCGGTAGTCTACACGCCACTTGTCAACAGCACTTATACAACCGTCTTAAGATCACTGAACTTTTTAGGCTGCATCAATGTATGAATAGAAAGGTATTCTGGAGCGTCCCATAAGATTTGCTAGTAAGCCAAATATAACACTTTTTGGTAGGTAACTGCCTACCAATCCGAAAGAGGTCAGTTGTAAGACTTATCTTCTTCTTCTTCACGTTTACCAGCTGTAAACTCTGGTGGAAGGTTCTGGTTGTTCGTCCACTACTGAACTGCAGTCCTGCTCCAGAACCTGAGTGTTGCGTGTGCATCAGTTTTACAGATCTTCTCGTAAATACAGACTGTTGGCTCCTTGCCTCTCCAGCAGATGCACTCCGACTTCAAAGGAAGCTCCCCAGTTAGTCGACTCTTACGACATGCTTTTGGGGAGGCAGTGGGTCTATTCTTGTTTTCCCCACAATGGGACCCCGGAACCCACAAGGGGGTAAGACTTGTCTGTTTACTAGCCTGCTAGATGGAGTCAAAAAACAATACTTGTCATTTCAGATAATATGACACATACCCACACAATCTACTTATCACCACTTGCATTGTCCACTCATGACATATACTTCTACATACACACATTCAACACGTATGCAAACATACATCATTTATATACAAAAATACACTATCTCAAATGAATGAATAAACTTTATTTTCAAAGATGGTGAAACTATGGGGGTGACTGCAGTCAAGCTAATACAAGGAATTCCAAAGAAATTTGACTAAAAAGCTCCACAAAATGGGAAAGAGGAAAACGTGCACAAAACAACACGACGTAACGTTTCGGCCGGGCGGCCTTTTTCAAACATAAGTGAACTACACAAACCAGGAATGGAGAGTATGTAGATCTCTTCGAGATGTGTTGTTTTGTGCACGGTTTCCTTTTTCCTATTTTGTTGAGCTTTTTAGTCAAATTTCTCTGGAATTCCTTTATTTTCAAAGGGTTACCAGTTGGGCAGGCAGCTCCATCCGAGCACTTATCTTTCAGACCACAATCACATGTTATCAATATTGCATGTCATGTTTATTTTAAAAAATATACACAACGAAATAATGCATACACACATCATATACATTCCTCCATGTGTGGGTTCCAGTGCCCCATTGTGGGGAAAACAAGAACAGACCCACTGCCTGCAAAAAAGCATGACGTAAGAGTCGACTAATTGGGAGCTTCCTTCGAAATCCTAGTACATCTGCCCCAGAGGCAAGGAATCAACAGTCTGCATGCAAATGAGCCAGACATGTGGAACGTGTGTACACGCAACAATCAGTTTCTGGATCATAACTAGAGTCCAGAAGTGGACGAACAACCAGACCTTCCTACCGGAGTTTACAGCTAGTTAATGTGAAGATACACATTCAAAAACATTCACATACTCTAACACACTAATACATATATATATACACACACCCTCATACATACATATACTCTAACACACTCATACATACACATACTCTAACACACTCATACATACACATACTCTAACACACTCATACATACACATACTCTAACACACTAATACATACACATACTCCAACTCACTCATACATACATATACACACACCCTCATACATACACATACTCTAACACACTAATACATACATATACACACACCCTCATACATACACATACTCTAACACACTCATACATACACATACTTTAACACACTCATACATACACATACTCCAACACACTCATACATACATATACACACACCCTCATACATACACATACTCTAACACACTAATACATACATATACACACACACACATACATACACATACTCTAACACACTAATACATACATTAAAAACACCCTCATACATACACATACTCTAACACACTAATACATACATACACACACACCCTCATACATACACATACTCTAACACACTAATACATACATATACACACACCCTCATACATACACATACTCTAACACACTCATACATACACATACTCTAACACACTCATACATACACATACTCTAACACACTAATACATACACATACTCCAACTCACTCATACATACATATACTCTAACACACTAATACATACATATACACACACCCTCATACATACACATACTCTAACACACTCATACATACACATACTTTAACACCCTCATACATACACATACTCTAACACACTAATACATACATATACACACACCCTCATACATACACATACTCTAACACACTCATACATACACATACTTTAACACACTCATACATACACATACTCCAACACACTCATACATACATATACACACACCCTCATACATACACATACTCTAACACACTAATACATACATATACACACACACACATACATACACATACTCTAACACACTAATACATACATTAAAAACACCCTCATACATACACATACTCTAACACACTAATACATACATACACACACACCCTCATACATACACATACTCTAACACACTAATACATACATATACACACACCCTCATACATACACATACTCTAACACACTCATACATACACATACTCCAACACACTAATACATACATATACACACACCCTCATACATACACATACTCCAACACACTAATACATATATATATACACACACCCTCATACATACACATACTCCAACACACTAATACATATATATACACACACCCTCATACATACACATACTCTAACACACTCATACATACACATACTCTAACACCCTCATACATACACATACTCTAACACACTCATACATACATATACACACACCCTCATACATACACATACTCCAACACACTCATACATACACATACTCTAACACACTAATACATACATATACACACACCCTCATACATACACATACCCTAACACACTAATACATACACATACTCTAACAGCCTCATACATACACATACTCCAACACACTAATACATACATATACACACACCCTCATACATACACATACTCTAACACACTAATACATACATATACACACACCCTCATACATGAACAGGGCAGTCCTGTAGTTGGCAGACATGAAAATGTCACCAAGCAGATAAAGACGTTCAATTAATCAACACAGAAGCGGTGTGGTCAGTTGTTTTCTGTTGATGGGTCTAATGAGGAGGAGACTGGAGCAACTGTGGTCATGACCTGAGTTTTGTGAAGATAAACCCCACTAATGGCTTAGCATACAAGCTGTAACACCTAAAAATGGAGGGCAGCAGCACAACCTCTGAGATCCAAAAATATTGGACAGCTGTTCAAAATGTGACATCCAATAATGGGGGGGGGGGGGGGGGGGGGGGGGGAAACAAATGTACATCTTTCAACATCCATTAATGTGGGGGGGGGGGGAAACTAATGTACATCCTGCAACATCCAAAAATGGAGCACAAGAGTACAAATGACATCCAAAAATAGAGGACAAATGTACAATATGTGGCATTCAACAGCGGAGAACAGTTGTACAACTTGTAAAACTCATAAATGAAGGACAAGTTTACAACCCGGCATGTTGCAGTTTTCTGTGCATTCAGACAAGATATGTGTCCGGCACCTAAATAAATGCAACATTACAGACATGTATGTACCCATTTTTACTGTGCAATGATCTGAAAGGGGTGACCTCTGCCTGTGAGAGACTTGATGACCTCCGCTGCAGAAGATGAGAAAGCTGTAGCATCAGATATGCCGTCCTTGGAGTCATCGATCACATGAGACACATAATATGTATTTCCTGCAAGTCCTTGATCATCATCTTCGTTTCTTTTCTCCAACAACTTCAACTCCAACTCCAGTTTCTTTGTTTCCAGCTCCAACTTTTTATTTTCCAGCTCCAACTTTCTGTTCTGCAGCAACAACTTTCTTCTTTTCAAATCTTGCTCAATATTGTCATTCTTCAGGTCACCGACAGTCAGGATACGCTTGCTTGCATTGCCAATCAAACGGGCAATGGGTGTATTTACAGACTGAGATGTCTTGGATGTAGTAAGGCCACTTTCATTTCCCTCTTCATCGTCAAAGATTTCATTCCCAAAATTTGCTGGAAGGTAAAGCAGAAAAAAAAAATGTTAAATGTAAATGTCAAACAGTGAATAGGGTTTAGCACAAACAGTAAATGTGTTGTACCTTCTTCTGTTCCATCATTTATCTCAGCTAGGTGTTGGGGGGAGATTTTAGGATTGTGTCTGCAATGCATTGTACAAGCTGGTGTTCATTTCTATTAGGTTGCTTGTGATGATGTCGCTCCATGTCTTGTGTGGTCTTCCCCTCGGTTTGTGTTCATTATATTTCTTCAGTGTGGCTCTCTGTGGCAGTTGGTACCAGGGCATTCTGGTCAGGTGGCCAAACCATCTCATTTGTTGTTCTTTAATGAACTGTATGACTTTTCTGTCCTAGTCTTCTAATTTCTTCATTCCTGATTTTATCCACAGCTTACAGTAAATGTGACTTCAGCAGACAGTAAATATGACTTCAGCAGACAGTAAATTTAACTTCAGCAAGCAGTAAATGTGACTTCAGCAGACAGTAAATGTTCCCACAGCAAGCAGTAAATGTGACTTCAGCAGACAGTAAATGTTCCCACAGCTTACAGTAAATGTGACTTCAGTAGACAGTAAATGTGACTTCAGCAGACAGTAAATGTGACTTCAGCAGACAGTAAATGTGACTTCAGCAGACAGTAAATGTGACTTCAGCAGACAGTAAATGTGACTTCAGCAGACAGTAAATGTGACTTCAGCAGACAGTAAATGTGACTACTGCACATCAGAGAGTAAATGTTCCCACAGCTTACAGTAAATGTGACTTCAGCAGACAGTAAATGTTCCCACAGCAAGCAGTAAATGTGACTTCAGCAGACAGTAAATGTTCCCACAGCTTACAGTAAATGTGACTTCAGCAGACAGTAAATGTGACTTCAGCAGACAGTAAATGTGACTTCAGCAGACAGTAAATGTGACTTCAGCAGACAGTAAATGTGACTTCAGCAGACAGTAAATGTGACTTCAGCAGACAGTAAATGTGACTTCAGCAGACAGTAAATGTGACTTCAGCAGACAGTAAATGTGACTTCAGCAGACAGTAAATGTGACTACTGCACATCAGAGAGTAAATGTTCCCACAGCTTACAGTAAATGTGACTTCAGCAGACAGTAAATGTTCCCACAACTTACAGTAAATGTGACTTCAGGAGACAGTAAATGTGACTTCAGCAGACAGTAAATGTGACTACTGCAAATCTGACAGTAAATGTTACAACAGCTTACAGTAAATGTGACTTCAGTAGACAGTAAATGTGACCCCACGTGACAGTAAATGTGACTTTAGCAGACAGTAAATGTGACTACTGCACATCTGACAGTAAATGTTACCACAGCTTACAGTAAATGTGACCTCAGCAGACAGTAAATGTGACTTCAGCAGACAGTAAATGTGACTTCAGCAGACAGTAAATGTGAATTCAGCATACACTAAATGTGACTACTGCACATCTGACAGTAAATGTTACCACAGCTTAAGTAAATGTGACTTCAGTAGACAGTAAATGTGACCCCACGTGACAGTAAATGTGACTTTAGCAGACAGTAAATATGACTACTGCACATCTGACAGTAAATGTTACCACAGCTTACAGTAAATGTGACTTCAGTAGACAGTAAATGTGACTTCAGCAGACAGTAAATGTTCCCACAGCTTACAGTAAATGTGACTTCAGCAGACAGTAAATGCGACTACTGCACATCAGACAGTAAATGTTCCCACAGCTTACAGTAAATGTGACTTCAGCAGACAGTAAATGTGACTTCAGCAGACAGTAAATGCCACTACTGGACGTCAGACAGTAAATGTTCCCACAGCTTACAGTAAATGTGACTTCAGCAGACAGTAAATGTGACTTCAGCAGACAGTAAATGTGACTTCAGCAGACAGTAAATGTGACTACTGCAAATCTGACAGTAAATGTGACCACAGCTTACAGTAAATGTGACTTCAGCAGACAGTAAATGTGACTTCAGCAGACAGTAAATGTGACTACAGCAGACAGTAAATGTGACTTCAGCAGACAGTAAATGTGACTTCAGCAGACAGTAAATGTGACTTCAGCAGACAGTAAATGTGACTACTGCAAATCTGACAGTAAATGTTACCACAGCTTACAGTAAATGTGACTTCAGCAGACAGTAAATGTGACCACAGCTTACAGTAAATGTGACTACAGGTGACAGTAAATGTGACTTCAGCAGACAGTAAATGTGACTACAGCAGACAGTAAATGTGACGACAGGTGACAGTAAATGTGACTACAGGTGACAGTAAATGTGACTTCAGCAGACAGTAAATGTGACTACAGCAGACAGTAAATGTGACTTCAGCAGACAGTAAATGTGACTTCAGCAGACAGTAAATGTGACTACTGCACATCTGACAGTAAATGTTCCCACAGCTTACAGTAAATGTGACTTCAGCAGACAGTAAATGTAACCACAGGTGACAGTAAATGTGACATCAGCAGACAGTAAATGTGACTACAGCAGACAGTAAATGTGACGACAGGTGACAGTGAATACGACTACATCAGCAAAACTTACTTTCAATATCTACTAATTGACCACCCTCGCCTTCCTCCAGCTTGGTGATTGTATAGCGGGATGAGTTGAGCCGTGACATACGAAACATCTGCTGTTTCGGGGTGCTTGTCTGGTCTCGTGGCTCCAGCTCATGGTTGTGTTGTTCAAACAGCTCGTACACCACCAGGTGGTGAAGATCTTCAGCCAACCTCAACAAGATACGCATGGGGCAACCACGGCGCTTGGATCTGCAGTCAATTGCAAGATACATAGGGGATAACCACAGCGCTTGGATTTGCAGTCAATAGCAAGATACATATGGGGCAACCACAGCGCTTGGATCTGCAGTCAATAGCAAGATACATATGGGGCAACCACGGCGCTTGGATCTGCAGTCAATAGCAAGATACATATGGGATAACCACGGCGCTTGGATCTGCAGTCATTAGCAAGATACATATCGGATAACCACGGCGCTTGGATCTGCAGTCAATAGCAAGATACATATGGGGCAACCACGGCGCTTGGATCTGCAGTCAATAGCAAGATACATATGGGATAACCACGGCGCTTGGATCTGCAGTAAATAGCAAGATACATATGGGATAACCACAGCTCTTGGATCTGCAGTAAATAGCAAGATACATATTGGACAACCAATGCGCTTGGATCTGCAGTAAATAGCAAGATACATATGGGACAACCACAGCGCTTGGACCTGCAGTCAATAGCAAGATACTTATGGGACAACCACAGCGCTTGGATCTGTGATAAATACACAAGATACACATGGGACAACCATGCACATGGACCTGCAATAAATACACCTAGGACAATCACTGTGCTTGGATTTGCGATAAATACACAAGATACACATAGGACAACTACAGCACTAGAATCTGCAATAAATACACAAGATACACATGGGAAAACCACGGCGCTGGATCTGCAATAAATACACATGATACAGGACAACCATGGCGCCTGGATCTGCAACAAATACACACGGGACAACCACGGCCCTACGATCTGCAAAAAATTCACAAGATACACATGGGACAACCACAGCGCTTAGATCTGGAATAAATTTACATGATACACATAGGACAACCACAGCATTTTGATCTGCAGTAAATACACAAGATATACATAGGACAACCATGGTGATTAGATTAGCAATAAATGCACAAGATACACATGGGATAACCAGGGCACCTGGATATGAAATAAATACACAGGATACCAATAGGACAACAACATACTTTGGATCTGCAGTAAATACACAAGATACATATAGGATGATCATGGCATTTGGAACTGCAGTAAGTACACAAGACACACATGTGACAACCACCGTGTCTGAATCTGGAATAAATATACAAGATACACATAGAATAATCAAGGCACTTAGATCTGGAATAAATGCACAAGATACACTCGAGACAATAACAGCATTTGAACCTGTTCTATGTACATATATTTCTTCTGATTTGTGAATTTTTAATGTCACAAATGAGATGTCAAATGCGAATGTCACAAATGAAGTATCAAATATGAATGTAACAAATGAGATGTCAAATGTGAATGTCACAACTGAGGTATCAAATATGAATGTAACAAATGAGATGTCAAATGCGAATGTCACAACTGAGGTATCAAATATGAATGTAACAAATGAGATGTCAAATGTGAATGTCACAACTGAGGTATCAAATATGAATGTAACAAATGAGATGTCAAATGTGAATGTCACAACAGAGTTATCAAATATGAATGTAACAAATGAGATGTCAAATATGAGAGTCATAACAGAGGGATCAAATGTGAATAACTCACACGTGGTTTGGTTTCACCTTGCCCTTGGATCGATATTCCCCATGAAATTCACAAGCATATGCCAGGCGATAGTAGAGGATATCTTTGTTGACAACATCCAAAAGTTTGGGCATGGTCTTAGCAATTCTGCCCAACAACTTGGAGTCTTTGACAATCAGCTGCACATTGTTGACTTTCTGATAGCGATCAATAGCATCTTTCAAGACGTCAAATGATGCAAACTTTTCTCCCAAAGCAATTTCAGGCATTCTGAGTCTTCACCCTGACAAATGAGAAAAAGGAATGAACAAATAACACGTCATAAATCTGCCATACTGTTTCTGTACTAATCATTTGATAATACACAAGTATATTGGACCGTAAATTATGGGTCTTGTTCTTTACAAATTGTCAGGGAGTTAGAAAAAAAAAGGGTATGACATATAAGTTAGACTTGTAAGTTAAATACTATTTGTGCAGCGTTGTTTTGAAAAGTGTGTGGTTGTGCACTGATGTACTTATCCCATTTTATCTATCAGGAACCTCATGTCTGCCGTAACGGCATTTGTCTCGCGTCCCAGGTCCAAACACAGATAAACTAGATAAACTAGATAAACTAGATAAACTAGATAAACTAGATAAACTAGATAAACTAGATAAACTAGATAAACTAGATAAACTAGATAAACTTTCCTAAACACACACTAAACCCAAACACCTACAGAGAACACAACAATCTTTAATGTACAAGTCAATCTAACAGACGGTGAGAGCGGACCAGTTGGCAAGCATTGCAGTAAGGCATGTGGGTAGAAGCATGGACAGAGCAGATATCGTCAACGCTGTACGGACTAAGCTAGTGGATAATGAGGAATCCCTGACACTAACACGACTGTGTGACTTGGGAGTAAAGCATGGTGAAGCACATCTATGCCATCTTCGAGGCAGAGATAGAAGACAATATAACCAGCTTCTCATGGGAAAAATTAGTAGAAGTACTTTGGAGTGGCTGCTGCATCGGAGGACAGAGCAGGCATGGGAATGCCCACTGTGCAGTGATGTCGATTGTGATAACATAACACAAAAGACGGTAGATTGCCTCAAAAGCTGTGGGCACCCCTATCCAAAAACAAAGGCCGGGAGGGCTTTACAAATCACCTCTCACTCCCAGGCCAGCGCATTCTTATGGATAGTACCTGGGTCCGAACCCACGTTGCTTCTGTACAGCTTTTTTCCTGCAGCTGACCTCCATACCTGACCACGGAGTGTCTGCCGAGTGCAGGGCGAAGTGAGCGAGGACAAATCCAATCACAACAACCAGTACAAACCAGCTGCAGCTACCAGACTAACTGTAATACCTAATCACTTACCCATGTAACAAGCGATACAGAACCTATCTCTGTCGAGCATATAACATAGAAGTACTACTACTATCTAACGAATACACTGTAACACAGACTATCAGTCACTGTGGTCTAAACATAACACATTGAAATCTAACAGTCAAATAATCACAGATCAGTGTTTGATGAGAGGTAAAAAGGCACAGAAGGAGACTGATAGTTTAGACATGAGCTAGGACTGATGGGCTTATCGTGTTTGAATGACTTTAAAAAACTCATGTCAATGTACCTGAGGAGTATCTGGTCAGTTCTAATTCAGTTTTTCTTTAAACAGTCTGTTAGGTGTTGTTTTGTTTAAACAGTCTGTTAGGTGTTGTTTTGTTTAAACAATTACTTTACTATCTTCTTCTTCTTCTTCTTCGCGTTCACCAGCTGTACACTCTGGCGGAAAGTTCTGGTTGCTCGTCCACTATTGAACTGCAGTCCTGCTCCAGAACCTGAATGTTGCGTGTGCATCAGTTTTACAGATCTCATTCTCTTGAATACAGACTGTTGGTTCCTCGCCTCTCCGGCAGATGCACTCCGACTTCAAAGGAAGCTCCCCAATTAGTCGACTCTTACAACATGCTTTTGGGGAGGCAGTGGGTCTATTCTTGTTTTCCCCACAATGGGTCCCCGGAACCCACACGGGGAGCTTTACCATCTAAAAACAATTCTGTTCCAGGTACAACAAAAAGGTTACAAGACTGACCAAGCTGCAATGGAATAAATCAATGTCTCTTTCTTCAATGTTAATTATACATAAAAACAAGCATTACTGCCCAATGTGCTTTGCCCAACTTTAATAAACTCAGTGTGTGTGTGTGTTGTCCATCAAAATGATGATGACCCCTCTGTTTCATCAAGTAAGTAAGTATTACATACGGATGTGAGTCGTGGACTATCTCTCAGTCCTTAAGAAAGAGAATAGGGGCTTTTGAGCTGAAATGCTATAGAAAGATTTTCAGAATATCTTGGACAAAGAAGATGAGAAATATTGACATCTTAAAAGATCTGAACATCAGGGAATGAGCGTTGTGCCAGGGAGGGGATCTCCTGCAGTCGCCTTTCTGTCCATCCTTTTCTTAATCAGTCTTGCTGTTCTGTTTGTTTCACATGTAGCTGCGCCCTTGTGTATAGTTGAACGCCATGCATTTCGGTCTTGAGAGGCAGCCTCCCAATTGCTTTGAGAGAAGACTTCAAGGCGTCCTCAAAGCGTTTCTTTTTTCCTCCTTGGGAAAGTTTCCAATTTTTCAGCTCATCATAGAAGAGTAACCATTTGGTGTAAGTTGTTTAAATTTGGCATTCAACCTTTGGGTACAGGATATATATAAGTGACTCCTTGAGTATGAAAGTACATAAGGCGGGAGAGCTGGCGAGAGGCCGAGTTTCTTTCAGGCATATTGGGATTACATGCTTTATTTATTAAAATGTGTGTGTGCTGTGTACACTATAAGAATCCCCTCCATATTCGCACTATGAGTATGAGGAGAAGCATGGTCGCCCACCCCAGTTGGCCAGGCATTTGACGATGATAATGATATTTAACGAACTGATAAACTGACACATGACGATGACTGTCAGTTAAAGCCATATACAATAATATGCGGCAATGTGCGGTGATCGACTCTGTTCCGTGGGTTACTCAGCTTGCGGCAAAGTTAGGTTATTCTCATACGTGTATTGGCAGATTATGTCTGTCTTGTACGCAGGTAAACGTAAACTTCAGAGCCACCTTTGTTTTGTAAAGAATTATGCTTCATTGCACATCACTGAACATGTATTTCCCAAAAATATAATGCTAACTAGTTCCAACCATAATAGGCACAAAATACCTGTAAATATTGTAAAAAGTGTCACTAAGTCTTGAGTTGGTCTCCTCGGAAAATGTCGGAAGCAGGGCTGCCAATTGGATTTTTTTTTAAACCCAGCTAGGCTAAACTAAAAACCCAAGCATTACATGGGCAAAGAACAAAAAATAAAAAACTCAGATTGTTGAAAAGTACAAATTGTATAGTTACGAAACAAAACATTTACTCACTTTTATATAAAGATGTTTTTTTTTTTTTAAAACCTAGGTTTTAAAATTTGAACCCAAGGCGTCGAATTAAAAAAAAAAAACCCAGCGAATCTGGGGGTAAAACCCAGCATTGGCAGCCCTGGTTGCAAGTTAAAGACAGGGGGCGTAACTCCAGGTACAACCTCTCATCGTTCAGGCTTCGCTTCGCTGCCTTCTTTCTCCACAATACTTATTTTAATCTGTCATTTTCTTTTTTAAAGCAATGTTTCTTCGTTGTGAATTTGTACAAAGAAGAGTCAAAACCCAAAACAATAAACTACAGAATTTATTGCCAATCCTATTTCGCTGTATTTCGGCATGACTAGTCCACTGCACTTCTCGCTATGACGAGATCCGGCCAAATAATTCATACACTTTAGTAATTTCCAATTTCGTCCTTTTTAGGACGAAATTTTTTGTCATTTGAAGCCCTACTCTGGCTTTTTCCAGGGGCCGCAATATAGGCAGGCCATATATATGGCCAAATGTCTGAACGCGGTTTCTGGGACCTCTCCACGGCGATCCTCATCCACATGGTGGCACTTTGTGTCATCGGGTGTTTATCGCCTGTGTGATGTCCTGGTGGGGTAGAAATTCAGTTCAGTTCAGTTCAATAATTCAAATATGTCTGGCAATATTAAAACAAATTGTGTCTGGGTTCTTTTTCAACAACTGGAGCACCTGGGTTGCTAGGGAGATAGTTCCACTGGCTAATTCAAATATGACGAGTGGTCCTAACTGTCATCCTTTTTCTCCCCCGCCCCTGTCCGCTTATGTGGTCGTGTCCCTCCCCTTTCTCTGATGTTAGTCTATATGTCTGTAAAGTCCCCGTTGTGTTATCCACTCATGTAAATAAATTGATGTAATGTACTTAAATGCAATATTGTAACATGCCAATTAAATTGTTGATGGTGAAGTGTTGCGGATTTATCTCCCATTTGGAGCCCTACTCTGGCTCTCGAGCCATTGGTCGCAGAGTAGCCCGGTCGTAATGGCTTAGGGCGAAACGCGGTTTCTGGGACCACTCCACGGGTTATCCTCACCCACATGGTGGCACTTTGGTGTCATCGGGTGTTTATCGCTTGTGCGACGTCCTGGGGGTGGGGGGGGGGGGTGGGGTTCAAGGGAAAATGGATACGGACCTTTTTATTATTTGCTAGATCGCTTTACACTGGCCAATGTAAATACGACGAGTGGTCCTAACTATCATCCTTTTCTCCCCCGCCCCTGTCCGCTTTCGTGGCCGTGTCCTTCTCCTTTCTCTGATGTTAGTTTATATGTCCGTAAAGTCCCCTTTGTGTTATCCACTCATGTAAATAAATTGATGCAATGTTCTTTCTCCTTAATCAAATGTTTTAACATGCCACTCAAATTGTTGACTGTGAGGGGTTGCGGGTTTATCTCCAATTTGGAGCCCTACTCTGGCTCTCGAGCCAGAGGCAGCAGAGTAGCCCGGTCTTAATGGTTTAGGGCGAAACGCGGTTTCTGGGACCACTCCACGGGCGATCCTCACCCATATGGTGGCACCTCTCTGTCATCGGGTGTTTATCGCTTGTGCGATGTCCTAGGAGGGTTCCAAAAGAGACTGGTAGATTGGTACTTGTTTCACTTTTTGTTTGATTTTTTAATTTCATGTATGCAAAAAATGTACACCAACATGAGTGGCCCTTTCTATTTCCTCCTTTGTTTCCCTTGTCCGCCTAAGTTTTAGTGTCATTGCAGTATCATTACGTACTTTTTAGGACGTAATTTTTTTTTTTTTTTTTTTGAAGCCCCACTCTGGCTTTTGCCAGGGGTCGCAATATAGGCAGGCCACCAATATGGCCAA